CTGTGAGTGTCGCGCGGACACCCCCCATTATAGCTCAATGGGTCGCCGAGGTACACAAACCGCCAACCACGATAAGGTCCAGTCTCTTCGTGACAGATATCAAGTACGCAGACGACACAGTTCTTCTTGAATCTGATGCCCTGGTAATGCAAACAATATCAAATAATCTAAATAATTCCGGCTCATGGTTTGGTGATGAAAGGCCACAGCCAACACATCCTCCACATGCATTTTCTGCCCCCTCCCTCATACCCTCAGTAGTGTGGGCCCATCAATTAGGACTGACAACGCCTTCCGTATTGCGTTGGTTTCGGCAGCAACATCTGCGCGCTAGTCAGTATTGACAAACTCAGGCATCTCAAACTCCATCTTCAGGCCTCGACACCAGGTCTATCCAGCTGCTATTATTGTTTACAATCTGGAGCGAACAGGACAACATTCTGCTCTTGCTCTCACAGTGGACTCGCTTGACGTTGAAATGCACTGGGTATCAGAAACGAGAATTCACGATGCAACCAGTGTCTGAGTTAATGGCCCTATCAATCTCCACTCGCTTCCGGTTGAGGCCTTCTAGCGAATTTGAGGCCGTTGCTGCAGGGTGTGCAAGGGTCGGTCCTAAGTCACTCGAGGTAAGGAGCCTTGCTTGACTGGATACTTGTTGATAGTCACCTTTGTGCAGTTAGCCTGGCAACAACCGTGAAGGGATCACACGACCGAAAAGTCGACCGTTTTCTATCCATCGTCTGCTTACGCTACAACCGACTGTAGCTTTGACACTAAGGAGAAAAATTATAAAGTCATGAATACCCAGTTACGGCGCGTTAAAAGTTCACATATAATGATGGTTGCCGAAGCTCTGAACGCTTAAGTGGGCAGGCTTAGTGCAAATGAAAATTAATTAGGTGGTTGGTATGGATTGGACTCCGTATGGGCGGACAATGGTGAACGAGTGCTTCCGCTACGTGCTTACCGCAGACTGTTTTTGTGCAGTATCAACTTCTGAAATAACCGAAGTCGTCTGTCCGCACAGTGCCCTCCAACAACGTGTCAGCCACGAACCCGAACTGATCGATCACAATAGCGGTCACCAATAGCGCAGGTAAACAATTGAATGCCACTCTTTTTCGAACCTGTGTGGACAAAGCGCACGTCTGGAGCCACTTTTTCCTTTGTTTTCCAGAGTCACGTAAGGCGTAGACAAACAGCCGAGCAATTGAGGGACTGGCAGATACCAAAGTTAGACGAATCTGGCAGGTTCATTTTCTAGGATCTCTTCCTGTCCGTGTCGAATGTCAATCCGTGTTGGAACGAAGCTAGCACACCTCTGCACAAACCTGAACAAGGAAGGACGCCTCCACTGCTAGCCACCTGCCGCCATTCACTTGGATCCTGGAAAAAATGGAACCCTAGACAGTGAATCTGGAACGCCCTACGGTCTCGGAGATCTATGACTGCATTTAATCTCTGAAGCGCTACCGAGCTCCTCCCACCCACATTATTCAAAGGTGGAGGTGAAGTCCTCAGTCAGCGCTTGTCGGATCTATTTCCCAACATCCCAGAAAAGGATGATGCCACTGAAAACTATGAAGATTCGGTTTTAGTTTCCATTTTCAAAAAAGATATCTGTGATGATTGGGTGGTCCCAGGCGGACCAATCTGACCTCAGTCGTAATGAGACTGTTTGTCACCTGCCCTTCGCTCATGAAATACTGACTGGAAAGCAGCAAGCGGGATTCCGGTCTGGTAGGGGTTACGTTGACCAAATCACCACACTCAATCAGGTGCTAGAACAAAGCCATACATATGTACAAATGACCCACAGCTTTAGTATTGCTGGATTTCCAAGTTGCAATCAAATTGGCTGGCTGGTCTGTTCTCCTTAACACACTTTCCCAGAAAAGTTTGTGAACATAATAGGTTCTTTGTATTCTCAGACTTCTGGAGGTGCGGAAGTATATGGGGAGCTCTACAAAAGCATGCGTACACAGTAGTGTAAGACATGGGGGCCCACTCTCTCCGCGGGTCCGTGATGGATGAGATAATGGAGCGAATAGCTGAAGGTTTTCAAAATCCTGGCTTTTAAATAGCCACTGACGAAACCCTTGTCGATCCGGACTACGCAGACATCGTTCTCGTCTACGAAGAGGATAAAGGGTGTAGCTGCTTTTGGATGAAGTGAGGACGTGCTCTTTGCATCCAAAAAGTGTAGGGTCATGCTTCCGGACATGCAGTCAATCCACGTAGAGGCACTCGAAGTTGTGCGAGGGAGTTAAGTATCGCGGATGTTGAAATGCGACAGATGAGGTGATTGCAAGAATCAGCAAAGCTCGAGTCGCTTTTGCTAATATGAAACACCTATGGCGGCAACGCGCTATATTCCGGACTCTCAAGGGACGTGTGCATCAAGCTACAATATGTGATGTTTTGTTGTGTCTGTGAGACTTTGCCTGTCCGAGCAAAGGAATTAAGACGCTTTCATGCGTTCGACAATCGTCGTCTAAGCACCATAGCTCGTGTGGGTTGGTGTCGGCAACTGGTCTGAAGGTGTAGGTAACTCGGAATGATTATGGTAGACTAGCACTAAGTCCCTTCGACGTCCACTTCTACCCTCTTCCTCACAATTAGGCTTTCGAATAAATTATGGTTGTACGGCAGCAAAGCATCAGTGTTGAAAATTGATGTCATGTTGTCGATGATGATGAAAATTGCTCCCTGCAGGGTTCGCACATGGAATGGCTAAACCGCGTAAATCGAGTCCTTGTTGGAAATTGTTTTGTTCCTAGGCAGAGTAATTCAGTTGAGTTCCGTTTGGTAACGGTATGAGGGTGCCCGGAGTGGCCGCAGTTTGTGGCTCCGGATAGTACACGGCAGTGAATGCAAAAAAGAAATACCAGCGGGTTGTAAAATAAAAATAAGAAAACGGAAGCAACAGCACGTTTGCTGGCAAGAGTACTCCGAACACTTGATGTGGTAGGTCTCCAATCCCTTAATCTTGCGGACAACATGCACCACTGTTGTCATGACCCATCGTTATACTTTCCATGGTCCACCTGCAGATCGTGTTTTTCCTACCTTGTGGTATCTTCAGATATCCTGTCACGGCAAAATAAGCGACCACCTGACGTGCAAAGCACACGACACGAGCTGCGTACACGGCCGAATCGATTTGTCATACGGATAAGCTGCTGATTCGTCGCACTTCAGGATAGTGTCTCCGGTGTCCCATGATATATGTGCAAAGCTTCGAATGCGTCAGAATTAAAACAAGCGGCCTTCCTTTGACTTCAGTATATGATGGTCAAGTTTCACAAACTTAAAGCAACACCGTACACAACGAGACTTTGTCGACCTTGTCTTTCACCGACAGACTGATGTCGCGTAGGAGTAAAGGGAAGCCTAATTTGAAGGCACAGGAAGGTGAACACATATCTACCATTTGACGAACTATTGGTACACGAGTGGCTAATGACTATCACGTTATGTTACGTGTAATAGGATAATACGAACTTAGGCCCATTTCAGGAGTGAATGACGCCGTTCCATCTTGAAACATTAGGCTCACTGCAAACCAAGAAAACCCTTATTAGTCGTTGCCAACGTACACTGCACCTGAACGTTTATTGCTGCGAAAGGATGAATGGTGAAGCCCTTAAGCTCACAGGAAGAATCCAAGAAGCCATACACGGCTCTACTGTACTGAAGATATCGGACAGCAGCGTATTGGCTCTTATTGGAAGTTATGTCGAAGCGAAACTATGGAACCCGAACCGTCTTCAGAAGGTAAATGTTGGACAGTTGTACTCGTCGTTTTTTGATTTGTTTGTTCATACAATCCATAAAAAGTGTTCTGGCAACGAGGACCAATAAAGCCACTCGTGCCCTCGTGGACGCAAGTCTAACTTGCCAATTGGAATATTCTCCTGAAAATAACGAACCATGCATGTACACAGGCCGATAAGATAAACAGTAACACAATCAATTCAGTGGAGTGGAGCAGGGTGGATGATGCCAAGGCGAACTCGTACTCCTTGAAAACGATGGAGTAATTCTACGTTTCCTCACGAGCGTTAGCTCCCGTACTGAAGTTTGGCATACCAGAAACAGTCAGACATAGACTTGCTAATCCCGCTGTTTTCTCAAACACGAACCACATTAGTGATCTCATAATGATAAGAAAATTCATCAGGAGCAAAGAAGACGTGATGACAGTTTGAGTATGTGTAGGAGAGATAACATCTCATACACCAGCTAAACGGACGGAAACAATCTAATACAATCATTTCCAACACCCAAATGTGATCAAAACACTTCCGCTCAGTCACAATAATTTAAGCAAACAGTGTAAACACAAGCCCCACTTAACGATACGCTTGCCATTTAGAGGTGCTAGAATAAAAATAGTACAATGCACAGTTTTGTCAACAGCAAGATGATGATAAATCCATGGGAAACCGGAAGTCAGATTAGCGTCATGCACCAAACTGATGTTACCTGACGCCATACAGACAAAAAACTAGGACTAAAACAAGAACACACCTTTCTTCTTGGTCCCTTGTGTCGTGGGTCTTGTAGCATTTTCTGACTCCATAAATCGAAAAAGAAATCCGGATCTGAGAACAGCTTCATACTGACTCGATTGTCATCTCTCAATTCGTCCATTTGCTCCAAAGGTGGCGGCGCATCCGCCCTGTCGTAACAAGCACGCATGGAGGGAGGGATTGTATGCCGACTCAAGACCTGTCAAAACAATCTGAGAAAACCACACCAAAACCTACTCTGCTATCAGCAGGCTTTTTACTTGTGAATGGAGCAAGCTGAACCGGCGGCGTGTTGGCCGTAAGGTCTTCGTCACCTGCCTGCATCGATTGCACATCGGCCTGTAGAGTGACAAGACGGTTTTGCAGACGCATTGTGCGCTCCGCGAGGTTGGACAATTCAGATGTGAGTTCTTCGAACATATTTGTGGCCAGCTGACTAATGGAAGCCAGTTGGCGCATTAAATTGCATAGTGTTGCATTCGAGACAAACTCCAATTCGTTGTCCACATCAGCAGGCACTGAGACCTGGCTGATGCGGACTGGTTGCACAGTGTGCTTGGGTAGTGGCATAATCCTGAAAAGTGTGGAAAGGGACTGTGAAAAAACAGAAGTTGATACAAAGGGATACACACTGAAATAAAAGAAACAAGACGATGGATTCAGTACCGCAAAAATTTTACCTAACTGACGCCAAGATATGTGTGACGTTCTGTTGCATTTGTTTTTAGGCATTCGTAAATGGACATTCCGAAATATTAAACAATAATAGTAATGACGGTAGCAGCTATTGTGCAACCGAAGGAAGCACGTAATGCCAAGCTCATACACAAGCAATCGAAAAGGTAACGTTGAGCTCGAACGACGGACCTTTCAGCTAGCAGTTTCGCACCCTAACCGCTGAGTTGTCTCGGAAACCATTTTATTGGCAAGTAGAACTTTCGTGAAGAGACTGGGTCTTACCATGCTGTGGCAATTTAGTTACCCACTCGACATAGTGCGCTATGCTAGAAGGCTTCAACTTGACACCCACACGTCATGCCACACGAAGGAGACACGAGGGCTGGGATACTGCCAGGTCGCCAAAGGCTGGACAGGGGAAGTTGAGAGGCACAGGTCGGGTTCGAACCACAAACATTTCGGTCAGTTAATTCGCGCTCTAACTACTTGGTTCATCTCGCCCCAATCGGCATACGTATGTGGATTTATTCCTTACGAACCAGTATTACCGTCAAAAGCATGAGAAGCAACACGAGAGAACATCATTTCACTGCCGTAAAACTATATCAGAACAAAACAAAGGGATAGTCATCATCATCATCATCATCATCGACAGCATGACATCAGTGTTCAACACCGATGCTTCACTGCCGTACAACCATCACTTATTTTAAAGCTTTATTATAAAGGAAGGAATAAAGGTGGATGGGGAAGGGACTTGGTGCTAGCTTAACACAATCATTCCGAGGTGCCTACACCCCCAGACATTC